CTGATCATCAAGGATAGACACGTGCAAAAGAGATGAACAAGAGGAAAGACAACAGAGAGCTATAAAATTGTGACTGGCATGGAGAATGCCACTGTGAACATCTTGTTTGCTCCTTCATATCTCACAGGAACCAGACACATGCCTGGAAATGAACAGGCCTCAGGTTCAAAAGAAAGAATGCGGGACTATGTACAATACACACCTAGCATGTGCATCTCATTGACTTTCTTTATTCCAATATATCTTTTTTTTTTAATGAGATCACCAGGTTTACAGGCAGGAGCCCTAGTGTGGTTCACTGTCCCATGTAGTGGCCCTTCGATCACCTCCAGCAAGAGATAAGAACAAAGGAGCTCTACAGCTGAGGCTGGGAGCCAGCTGGCTTCATAGCTCAAGCTGGAGAGGCTCCTACACTAAGCTCCACAGATCCCAGCTTCAGATCTGCCTGGCGGTGGGCACATTAGCTCGGAATTGCATAGCTTATTTCCAGCGGATCTATTTTAAAATGTGGCACCAAATTTCAAAATAGACCGCTATTCCGACAAGTCCCTTAATCCTCATGGAACGAGGTTTACTGGGACGTGGGAACAGCAAGCCCTTTATTTTGATTGCATATCGAAATAATGGGTGTGCTTTTAAGACATGGAAAATGCTATTTTGGGATACCGGACCTATCCTGAAATAGCGCTGCTGTCTAGATGTACCCCAAGGGTTTAGGGGACCATCTTGTTGCATTCCCTGTAGTATCCCGGTGGACATTACAGAACTATTGGCTCCACAGATCAGGGATGGTATTTTCTAGGTGGAGAAGTGGTCTTCTTTCATGACAGTGGATAAATATGGGCTAGCCTCCTGATGTAACACCAAAGCCTGTTATTCTGCCCACGTTTCTCTCATGCGATCCATTAACATTATTCATTGAGGCTACATCTACACTTCAAGGTTTTTGTGCAAAAACCTGTGGAGCATCCACACCTCAAATGTGCTTTTGCGCAAGTAAATCAGCAGTAAAACAGCAGAACAGAGGGCTTTTTCCATTGTAGGTAAACCTTTTTTTATGAGGCATAACTCCTTTCATGCTCAGCTATTGTGCAAAAGGCAAGTGTGGATGCTCCACAGGGGTTTCTTGCGCAAATACAGCCTGTCCGAAAAAGCACAGGTGCTCTGATGCCCATTCTGTGAATGTCCATCAGAGCTTTCTTGTGCAAGAGCATCCATGCAGTGTGGATGCTCTCTTGTGCAAAAGTGCATCACAAAAGTGATGTTCTTTAAGGTGTGGACGTGCTCTTGCGCAAGAAGTTTTTGCGCAAAAGCTCTTGCGCAAAAGGCTTTTTGCACAAGAAGCCTGCAATGTAGACGCAGCCTGAGAGTTTTGGATACCTCCCCACACTCCTCCCCTGTGTCAGTCTTCTTAAGCAGTCCTCCAACCACGTCTCAAGATCTCCCACCCAATAAGTGAATGACAGGTTTACCTTTACTGCCCTCCTCTACCCTGTGAAACTGCCGACAGATGCCTGGAAACAGGCTCTCAGTGACAAGACCTGTCTTCCCACCATCTCCTCTCCCCTCAAATTCATGTCCTCCTTCAGAGTCCAGCCTGCAAGGCCCTCTTGTCTGGTGATGTCCCCCTGGTTCTGGGCCCTCTGCCTATGGCCCCACCTTGTTCTCCCCAGCTTCTCAGTGTACTGTGTTATTTGTGGCACCGCTGATACCCACTGACCTGGCTGGGAACCTCCCGCTCCCTCTCTAGTTCTGCCCTGGCTGCTCACTGGGGCAGCTGGTCTCTGCTGACTCAGCCCCAGCCTCTGGTCTGCTCCAACTGCAGCTCCCCAGCTCTGCATCAGCGCTGCTGCTCGACCTCTGGCCCAGTGCTGGCTCTTTTGTCTCACTGCTGCTGCTCTGTCTCTGGTCCAGTTCTGCCTCCATGGCAGCCTCTCCTGCCCTTGTGTTTCTGGCTGCTGCTGCTCCGACTCCAGCTCCCCCAGAGGTGGTTCCTCAGGTTTGCCAGAGTTTTACTGCAGTAATAGCCCCACATGACATAAAAAGGTCACCTAAGAGTATTCCACTGCATTTCTTGAAAGTAAGGATATTTATTCACATGCCGGTCTATACAACCAATGAGAACGGAAAGATTTTTTTTCAATACCTAGCACAGATTTGACTGAAAAGTAATTTTAAAAAGCCACAAGCCCTAGCAGGAGTTTGTCCAATTCAGCAGCAAACCTGGGAGATGCCGATCAAATTCAAACTCAAATCCCCACACTTGTGTTTGCACTCTGCTCAAGGATCATCAGGAGTTTCAAACAGAAAATCACAGTGACATTAGAAATATACACAAAATAATCCAGAATGTAAGTTGTGAAACTCCAACGATAACTTTATTATAGTGAAAACTTCAGAGGGGTGGCTGAGTTAGTCTTTAAAGTGCAACCAGACCATTTCTTGTTTTTTTAAGTTTTTCATGTTACAGACTTAACAAAATATGTAGATGGTATCATGAGTTTTCATGGGCACAGCCCATTTCTTCAGATGACCAGAGTGTTGGATGTCCAGAACCAAGAATGAATGGGGGAAGGATAGGGCAGGAGTTAATCTTCCTCTCCAAGTGCAAACCAATAGTTTTTATCAGCCTCTTTTATCTATCTAGTCTTTAAGGGTATGTCTGTTCTACCGAAGCAAAATACAGAACTATGTAGCACTTTAAAGACTAACAAGATGGTTTATTAGATGATGAGCTTTCGTGGGCCAGACCCACTTCCTCAGATCAAATAGTGGAAGAAAATTATCACAACCATATATACCAAAGGATACAATTAAAAAAAAGTGAATTTCAGTTTTTCCTGTTACAGACACGCTCAATTTTCCCTTTGAAACTTATCTACCCACTGCCTCTCCCCCACCAATTTTTTTCCTTCTCTCCTCCCCTCTTTCCTCCATTTATTCTTGGTTCTGGACATCCAACGCTCCGGTCATCTGACAAAGTGGGCTGTGCCCACGAAAGCTCATGATACCATCTACATGTTTTGTTATGCTTTAAAGTGCTACCCGACTATTTGTTGTTGATTATACTAATTCTTTCTGATTGCATTCAAGGATGGAAGCCACTGTCCATAACTAGTGGCTGCCCATACTCCCTTCTCTTTGTCTACTGAAGGTGTCTTTTTCCTCAAACTGATCAAGGAAGCTGTTCACAGAGGGTTTACAATACAACAGGGCTTAACTCGAAATAAGCGGCCCCAACACGCTGCCACAGCTACACAGCCCTTAATTGCATAGCTTGTTTTGAAACTGGGAGCCTCTACATAGCACTTATTTCGAAATAGAGCTGGAGCATCTACACAGCACTCATTTCGAAATAGAGCACTCTTCCTCTGACTTCCCTTACTAATGGAAAGCCACGTTGTGTGAGAAAGCTACACTATGTACTGGTAGTCTAGGAACAAAGGGCAAGCTGAGCAAAAGGGTCAGTGACTAGCACGTGACATGACAGGTAAATTAAGCAGCAAAAATAGTGGACTCTGCAAGGGAGACAGCAGTGCTGGGTAAAGAGTGACCAGAAATTAGCAGTAAGGAACTTCTCAGAGACTAAACTTCCACACTACTGTGGTCAACCACATTGGGACAGATTGATGGGGCGGCATCTTTTCTCTCTCTTCTCCCACAGGGCTAAAATCAGTAACCTGGTATAATCATCTTCTGCGGAAGTATTTGACCACTTTGTAACGGAGTTCTTTGGTTTTGACCCCATAAATGACAGGGTTAAGCATGGAGGGGAGAAGAAGATGGAGGTTGGCCAAGATGATGTGGACAGGGGGAGCAATGCCCTGACCGAAGCGGTGTGTCATCACGGAGAAGAGGCCAGGAATCCAAATTGTCAGCATCACACAGATGTGGGCGGTACAGGTGTTGAGGGCTTTCTGGTGGGCTGTCTTGGAGGAGATTCTATCATCAATTTTGACTCTGAGGGAGTCAAAGTCTGCTCTTCTGAAGTTCAGGGTGTGTATTTTGCTACTCTCCTTTCTTCCTTTGATCAGGATCCTGAAATCTACCATCTCATTCTGGTGGGCTGTCTTGGAGGAGATTCTAAAAACAGCCCTGATGATGAGACCGTAGGACAGGGCAATGAGACCCACATCTACCCCCGTATTTAAAATACTTATCACCAAACCATGCATGCTTATGATGGTGACGTCCCCACATGACAGCTTCACAACAGCTATGTTCTCACAATACGTGTGAGGGATCACATGACTGGTACAGAATGGCAGCCTGCTTAGGAGCAAGGGCAGAGGAAGAATGAAGAGAACAGCTCTTACCAAACCCACTAGCCCTAGCTTAGCTATTCGTGCATTGCTGAGGATGGTGGTGTATCTCAGAGGGTCACATATGGCCACATAGCGATCAAAGGCCATTATCACGAGGACAGCTGATTGCGTAACCAAAACCGTGTTAAGGAAGAACATCTGGGTGAGGCAGCCAGCCAGGTTAATGCCTTTCCAATTGAACCAAAATATACACAGGGCCTTCGGCACCACTAGAGTGGACATGGAAATGTCTGTGAGTGCCAACATGCAGAGCAGCAAGTACATTGGCTGGCGCAGGGTCTGCTCCTTGCCTACAACAAGCAGAATCATGACATTTCCCAACAGGTTGATAATATAGCACACAGAGAAGGGAATGGAAATCCAGATGTGGGCATGTTCCAGGCCAGGGATGCCTGTTAGGATGAATATCAAAGGGTCAGATGGGGTAAAATTTAAAGCCGCCATGAGGTGGTCGATGTATCTATCAGTCTCAGAAATGCTCAAGGGACCTGTGAAGTGGCGATGTCGTTGAGTGCCAGCATGCAGATCAGCAGGTACATCGGCTTGTGCAGGGTCTGCTCTTTGCCTATGACAAACAGAACCATGAAATTTCCCAACAGGTTGATAATGTAGCACACAGAGAAGGGGATGGAAATCCAGATGTGGGCATGTTCCAGGCCAGGGATGCCTGTTAGGATGAATGTCAAAGGATCAGATGGGGTGAAATTTAATGCCGCCATGAGGTGGTCAATGCATCCATCAGTCTTGGAAATGTTCATGGGATCTGTAAAGGGAAAGAAGCAGAGTGAAGAAGGTAATGCACATTAGAACAAATAATACCGTCAATTATTTATAGTAATTAGCCATGTAGAAAGGGGGTTGAGCCCTAGTGGCAAAAGTCAGAGATGGCACAAAGTTATTTAGGGTTGAGTCTAGTACAGAAAAGTCCTCTCAGAGGGAGGTAACACAGGGCCTGTCTACACTAGGAAAGTATTTCAAAAGAATTTATTTCCAAATAATAACTCCAGAAATAACTATTTTAAAATAGTATACCCACTCTACAGGGAAACCTTGAAATTAATTTGTCAGGCTCCCTTGATGTGGACACATGAACTCGACTCAGAGACCCAGGAAGCACTGGGAGTAATTACTTTGAATGACTCTGGGGAGTCATGATTTTGAAATAGCAGCAGTGGAGCATCCACACTGCCGCTATTTCAAAAGTACTCTTTTGAAATACGTCTTATTCCCTGAGGAAAGCAGGAGTGATTATTTCGAAATAACAGGGTTGGTAGTGTGGACAGTCTCCCTGCTATTTCAAAATAAGGGAAATAAAAGTACGGCTAGACTATGTTTTTTATTTGAAAGGAGATACGCAAATTCGGTGCTAATTTGCATATCTTCTTCCAACTGGTTTTTTGAAAGTAGTCTGGACCCTTTTTTTTTGGAAAAAAAACCCTTTTTCAAAAAAAACCTCTCAGCCTAAAAAAAGGAGGTTTATGCGGTTTTTCGAAAAAGAGGAGGTTTTTTTCTGAACCCTCCCCCCCAAATCCAGACTACTTTCATGTTCCAAAAAAACCTGCTTTAGAAAAAGCAATCAGAGGAAGATATGCAAATTAGCACATACTTTGCATATTTCCTTTTAAAAAAACACTGTAGTCTAGATGTACCCTTAGTGTGGACCAGGGGTAAGGGTTCTGATTTGGCAGCATGTTGGCAGGTGGACTTCAATGTCAGTAACTGCCCCTTGGAGCAGAAATCTGGAACGCCGCAAACACCATCTCAGATTGTAACGTAATTGTATGAACTCAGGAATGGGACCAGGATTTTACGGCACAGAGCTATGTCAAATATTGCTGCAAGTGGAAACATGGGCAGAAACTAAGCAAAGAATTAGGATCTAAGAGGAGTGGAATGGGACTTCACTGCGAAAACACAAAGACACGAGGCCACTTATTCAGGTTATGTCTACACTAGCTCAGTAGTTCGAGCTAGGTAGGCAAATGAGGGCAATAGGAATTGCAAATGAAGCCCGGGATTTAAATATCCCGGGCTTCTTTTGCATCTTCCCAGGTGCTGCCATTTTTAAATCCCCCTTAGTCTGAACTCCATGCCCGCGGCTACACGCAGCACGGAGTAGGTAGTTCGAATTAGGATCTCTAATTCGAACTACCGGTACACCTTGTTCCACTCATAGCCGCGGGCACGGAGTTCGACTAAGGGGGATTTAAAAATGGCGGTGCCTGGGAAGATGCAAATGAAGCCCGGGATATTTAAATCCCGGGCTTCATTTGCAATTCCTATTGCCCTCATTTGCCTACCTAGCTCAAACTACCGAGCTAGTGTAGACATACCCTCAGTGATTCACTCTCTAATACACTCCCCTGTGTCGAAACAAGCACTCGGTAGAACAAGCTAGTGCAAACACTGTAGGGCTACATCTAGACTGGCATGATTTTCCGCAAATGCTTTTAACGGAAAAGTTTTCCATTAAAAGCATTTGTGGAAAAGAGCGTCTAGATTGGCATGGATGCTTTTCCGCAAAAGCACTTTTTGCGGAAAAACGTCCGTGCCAATCTAGACGCGCCTTTCCGCAAAAAAGCCCCGATCGCCATTTTCGCAATCAGGGCTTTTTTGTGCAAAACAAATCTGAGCTGTCTACACTGGCCCTTTAGCACAAAAGCTTTGTGCAAAAGGAACTTTTGCCTGAATGGGAGCAGCATAGTATTTCTGCAAGAAGCACTGATTTCAGACAGTAGGGAGTCAGTGTTCTTGCGGAAATTCAAGCGGCCAGTGTAGACAGCTGGCAAGTTTTTCCGCAAAAGCAGTCTAGACACAGCCTAGGGGTTAAAAGACATGCAACAAGAATGCTTGGTGGGCCGAGGAACCTTTCCTAAGGAAAGAAGTTGAAAAATCCAGAGGTTTATACTTTAAAAAAAAGATGAATTAGAATATATATTAAAAAGTCTATGAAATTGATTGGTAGAGAATAGACTGAGACTCACCCATCCTCTCTGTTTCAAAAGACAAGAGCAAGGGGACGTGGATTTAAGCTGCAGTATGGCAGAAATAAAAAAAGATAAAAGATAACTGCTCTTTTTCGCTCAAAGCCTTAATGAAACTAAGGGACTCATTGCCAGAAAAGATAGCTGAGGCCATGAGCTAAATGAGAATCATGAAGTGCTTGGACATTTGGACTGTCTAGGAAGGAGCATTGCAGAAAGGGATCTAGGGGTCATAGTGGACCACAAGCTAAATATAAGTCAACCATGTGACACTGTTGCAAAAAAAGCAAACATGATTCTGGGGTGCATTAACTGATGTGCTGTGAATAAGACATGAGAAGTCATTCTTCCACTCCACTCTCCACTGATTAGGCCTCAGTTGGAGTATTGTGTCCAGTTCTGGGCACCTCAGTTTCAGTATTGTGTCCAGTCCTGGGCACCACATTTCAGGAAAGATGTGAAGAAATTGGAGAGGGTCCAGAGAAGAGCAACAAGAATGATTAAAGGTCAAGAGAACATGACCTATGAAGGAAGGCTGAAAGAATTGGGCTTGTTTATTTTGGAAAGGAGAAGACAGAGAGGGGACATTATATCATTTTTCAGATATTTAAAAGGGTATCACAAGGTGGAGGGAGAAAAATTGTTCTTCTTCGCCTCTGAGGCTAGGACAAGGAGCAATGGGCTTAAACTGCAGCAAGGAAGGTTTAGGTTGGACACGAGGAAAAACTTCCTAACTGTCAGGGTGGTGAAACACTTGAAATAAATTGCCTATGGGGGTTGCGGAATCTCCATCTCAAGAGATATTCAAGAGCAGGTTAGAATTATCAAGAAAGGTCTAGATGGTACTGGGTCCTGCAATTAGGGTAGGGACTGGACTTGATGACCTCTCGAGGTCCCTTCCAGTTCTAGTGTTCTATGATTCTATGATTCTATTATTAATATGGGTAGTGAAACAATGGAGTAGATGGACCGTAGATCTGATCCACAATGCAGTTATGATTGGAAAGCAGTCACATTTCCCCCATGGAAACAGACATTCCCATGCTGGGCTAGAACTTTCTGCTACAAAGAATGGGCAAGAAGGAGTCAAAGCTCGTCGTAGCTTTTAGCTCTCTTGTTCCTTTTGGTGGGAAACTAACTTGCATGCCCCCAGCTTTGTCTGAGACGTACGTTACAGGTGCTAACCAACACGTAATCTGAGACTCAGGTCAGTTTTTCAGCTTTTGTCCATTCTCATGCCTGCAGTTTGCAGAAGATGCAAAACTGGGGATCGTCAATAATGAAGAGGACAGGCCATTGATTCAGTGCAATCCGGATTGATTGCTAAATGCTAACAGTTGCTAAAGCTAACAGTGTGTGGTTTGGACATGTAGCTGTGTACATTTAGGAACAAAGAATACAGGCTACGCATAAACGATGGGGATTCTGATAGGAAATCAAATGCAATGAACATGATTTGGGGGCAAGGAAGGGTAATCAGATAAACATAAGCTTCCAATGTAACTCTGTGCCCCAAAGAGCCCAGGTGATCCTGAGAGAGCAACTGGGGAAAACTCAAGGAGCCAGTATGACTGCTTCTGGAATCCGTTGTTCAGCAATTCTATCTGGGATGAAGGATGGACGTTGATGTATGGAAGAGGATTCAGAGAAGGGCCTCTATTTAGTTTAACAATGATGGTGAAGAGGTGACTTCACAACAGCCTGTTTGTATGGAGACAGGGAACACATTTTTAAAAACAGGCATTTTGGCCAAGCACACAGAGGTGTAACAGGATCCAGTGTCTGCTGGTTGAAGTTAAGGAAGTTCTGACTGGAAATAAAATAATTTTTTAATGGTGAGAGTAATTTTCCATTGGAACCATGTTTCAAGAGAGGAAAGAGCATCTTCACGGGCAGGCTTGCAAACCTAGTGAGGAGGCCTTTAAACTAGGTTCGTTAGGGGGACTATGACCAAAGCCCTGAGGTAAGTGGGGAAATCAGATACCGGGAAGAAACACAAGAATGAACAAGCAATAAAGGAGGACCTCTAATTTGAATGAAGAAGGTCGGGAAATCAACTGGTTATCTAAAGTGTTTGTACACAAATGCAAGAAGCCTGGGTAACAAACAGGAAGACAGCCCTGGCTCAGTCAAAGAACTATGATTTGATTGGAATAACGGAGACTTGGTGGGATGACTCGCATGACTAGAGCACTGCCATGGAAGGGTATAAACTGTTCAGGAAGAATGGGAGGGGGGGAGAAAAGGAGGAGAAGTTGCATTGTATATAAGAGATCAGTATGATTGATCAGAGCTCCAGTATATAGAGGGAGAAAAGCCTGTTGAGAGTCTATGGGTTAAGTTTAGAGGTGGAAGCAACAGGGGTGATGTTGTGAGTAGTGTCTGCTATAGACCACCAGATCTCATGGATGAGGTAGATGAGGCTTTCTTCAGACAATTGAGAGAAGCTTCCAGATCATAGGCCCTGGTTCTCATGGGGGACTTTAACCACCCTGACATCTGTTGGGAGACCAATACAGCAGTACACAGACAATCCAGGAAGTTTTTGGAGAATGTTGGGGATAACTTCTTGGTACAAGTGCTGAAGGAACCAATCACGGGCCATGCACAGTTTGACTTGCTGCTCACAAACAGGGAGAAACTAGTAGGGGAAATAGAGATTGGTGACAACCTGGGGAGCAGTGATCATGAGATGGTAGATTTCAGGATCCTGACCAAAGGAAGAAAGGAGAGTAGCAAAATACACACCCTGAACTTCAGAAGAGCAAACATTGACTCCCTCAGAGAACTGATGAGCAGGATTCCCTGG